CCTGAGAGGCGTTTTTAAAAAGAGGCTCATGCCTTGATGCTCTGGATTTGGTGTTGATTTCGTTTACAATTTTTGGGTGTGGTATTTGCTTGATTCTTTTAAAATGTTTGTCTGCTTACTGTTTTTAGCTGGAAATGTCTTTTAATGGCGTATGCCGCCTTGGGTCCTTTTTAAGGAGAAAGGTGGGGTAAAGGTGGATGGATGGATGGATGGATGGATGGATGGAGGGATGGATGGATGGATGGATGGATGGATGGATGGATGGATGGATGGATGGATGGATAGAGGGAGGGAGGGATGGATGGATGGAAAGAGAGAGGGAGGGATGGATGGATGAAAAGAGAGAGATGGATGGATGGATGGATGGATGGAAAGAGAGAAGGATGGATGGATGGATGGATGGATGGATGGATGATGGATGGATGGATGGATGGATGGATGGATGGATGGATGGAAAGAGAGAGATGGATGGATGGATGGATGGATGGATGGATGGATGGATGGATGGATGGATGGAAAGAGAGAGATGGATGGATGGATGGATGGATGGATGGATGGATGGATGGATGGATGGATGGAAAGAGAGAGATGGATGGATGGATGGATGGATGGATGGATGGATGGATGGATGGATGGATGGAAAGAGAGAGATGGATGGATGGATGGATGGATGGATGGATGGATGGATGGATGGATGGATGGAAAGAGAGAGATGGATGGATGGATGGATGGCAGCACTTTCCATTGTGTCAGACCTTGGGTGAGGTGGTTCATGGGAATTGTAGTCATCTGTATCCAGAAGGCTACACCACTTGGAAAGGATCATGGCTATTGATTCTCTACCTCTTACCGCATGAACGGTGGCTTCCTAGCGCAAATCGTTTGGAAGATCATCATCTCATCATCACCCTCCCACAGGTGGCATGATGGGATCGCCAGATTACTGCATGGGTTGGTGGATGGACAGAGAAATAGTGGCAGAGGGTGGGTGGGTGCGTAGGTGGACCTCCCAGTTTGGAAAAGGGAAGCCTTTGGGTGAGATTGAAATACAAAGGCTGTGCCTTTCCTGATCTCCATGTTTTTCTTTTTATCCGTCCTCCATCCATCCGAGTGGTCTTATTGCGCTCCTTCTCTCTCTCTCTCTCTCTCTCTCTCAGCATGTCCTTCTAGGCCTTCACTTCCAGGAGCTTTCATGGGACCACACGTTCCCGAGTGAGGAGGAGCACATCCTGTGGCTGGAGTTTGATGGGGAGAGCGAAGGCACGCCAGTCAACAAGCTGCTCAAAATCTACTCCAAGCAGGTGGGTGGGTAGGTGGATGCCCTCTTGACCCACGCTTTGAGTGGTCCCTGCGGGCTTTCCTCTCTTTTTCCAAAAGGCTTTTTGCCAACGGCTCCGTTGAGGACTCTGCCCCGACCAGCCTGCCTGTCCCCCAAAAGCGGGCTAGGTTGGGAAGACAGTGGGAGGCTGCAAGCCGGTGATGGGGATGGGGGGAGAAAAGAGACAGAAGGGAGGTCAAAGAAAAAAGGTTGAAGTCGAGAGAGAAGAGGAGGAGGAAAAGGAGGCGTGGTAGAGACTGAGAAATAAATCAACGACTGGCATGGATTCTAACTAGCAGAGAAGAATGTGGGCCATTCTTGCCATGTTGGCTTCACCACCCTTCCAGCCTTGCCAGGCCCCAGGAGTACAGCTGGTGAGGCCACCGCTTCCAAATCCGGAGTAACGTCTTGCCTCCGGTGTACAGAAGGCCCCCTCTTGTGAGATCCACTCTAGACTGAGCCTCCGTTCCAGGTGACTTTGACCTAAGAAGCTTGTACTGGCGCACCACCCTTTGCGTCAAGCGGAGAAGCAAACCAAGAACCGGCCGTTTATGATAGCGCTTTTCAAACACTTGGTCGTTCATCATAGAGAGGAGGGGCAGGATCTGTTCTTGATCATTCCAGAGGGCAGGACATGTCATAATGGGCTCAAGTTATAGGAAGTAAGATTTAAGCTGAATATCAGGGAAAACTTCCTAACTGTTCGAGCAGTACGACAACAGAACCCATGACCTCAGGAGGCGGTAAGGGCTCCAACGCTGGAGGCATTCAAGAGGAAATTGGACCATCGTCTGTCAGATCTGCTTTGCTTTGGATTCCTGCACTGAGCAGGGGGTTGGACTGGATGGCCTTGTAGGCCCCTTCCAATTCTATGATTCTATAATTAAGCATTGCTTCCTGTATAGATGGTTGAAGATTTCCAATCAAGTCGGGAATCGGAAGCTATAAACGATGGCTTCATATCTTGGCTTGTGTGGAAGCCATGAACCCTAGTTTACTGTTTCAGGCACATCAGGAAACCGTGGTTAGCTAGAAACTGTATTTACATTTAACTTACATGAAGAATGAGTATGCAGCACTTATACAGTGGTGCCTCGCAAGACTACTTTAATTCGTTCTGCGAAAATTGTCTTGTGAAAAAATCATCTTGCGCGGTTTCCTATGCATTGGTCTCAAAAAAAAAAAAAACATCTTGCGATGCACGGTCAGTAGTTACCTTGTTATTAAGCCTGAATTTGATTATGTGATCAAGAATGAATTTCATCTTGTCCTGAGCTTTAAGGGCAGTGGATTCTTCCGCAAAAAAAAAACATCTTGCGAAGCACGGACAGTAGTTATCTTGTTATTAAGCCTGAATTTGATTACAGTATGTGATCAAGAATGAATTTCATCTTGTACTGAGCTTTAAGGGCAATGGATTCTTCCTTTCTGTCTCAGCTGGTCTGGGTGACTGGGAGAGAGACGCTGATGAAACACATCGCCTGCACTTGTGACAAAATGGGTGTGCGGTGCAACCATCTGACCACTAGTGGTGACATATGTCATTACATGGCCTACGTGTCTCGAAGCCAAAGCTTTATTATGCACGCTATCCTCAAAGTGATGCCGGATTCAGTGCCGTCCAAGAGTCAAACATTTGCTCATCACTTCTTATTGGGTGGGTGCACTGTTTTTTTAATTGCCAACACCATGTCCATTTCAAAGCACGTCCATAAAGAAGCCGGATTTAGGCTGACTAGCAGGAAATGCTTCCTAACTGTTAGAGCAGTACAGCAATGAACTCAGGAGGTGGTGAGTGTTTGAGGTGTTCGAGAGAAAACCGGACAACCCTCTTCTCAGATCTGCTTTCATTTGGATCCCTTTCCTTGAGCATGGCGTTGGACTTGACGGCCTTAAAGATCCCTTCCAGATCCATGATTCTATGAATACAGACAACCCATCTTTCCTCAACAACTGCTTGGTTTATTGATGTAGTTTGGAATTTTTTTTGTTAAATTGAATTTTATCCTAAAATTTGAACGTGCTTGTGTATTATCGGGTTTTTCCTCTTAAATTTTACTGTGAATAGCTGTAAGGTAGGGTATGAATTGGTTAGGCATCTGAGGGGGGGGGGTCATCTAATCCTAGGGATGGGGAATCAAGTCGCAGGACTTGTGGTCAAGCTGGACTTAAGTCACACCAGTGACTCAACTTAGACTTAATTTGGGTTGGTTTGTTTTTTTTCAATGATTTGGTCTTGAGTCATGACTCAGAACCCATCCACCTCCCCCTTTTTGGTGTAGGGGGGGAAAAGCTTATTTTTTTAACAGGGACTCGGTATCAAAGTCTTGCCAACACCCCTGTCTAGTCCAGCCTCCACCAGTACTGAACATCCAGAGCTAAAGGGTCTGACGGAGAGCCATTTAACCTCCGTGAACCTCCAGTGAAAGAGAGTCCCGCATTAGACCGTTCCACCGTCAGACCATTAACCGCCAGGCAGTTCTTAAACGATTAATCAAAGCTCTCAAACTGAACGATTGACGGAAATTCAGTACCTACAGGTATACAAATAGCTTAATTTCTCCCCGGTTTATACTTGGCTCCTGGTCGCTGCCTTGATTTTTCTCGAGGGTTGAGAAAGGGGAATTATGGGATGTCCTAGGCTCTGGTTGACACTGGGGAGGAGGTGCTCTATGAGAAGGTGATGGCCGTGTTGTCCACTCTCCAGCCCTCCAGATATGTTCGACTACAGCTCCCATTATCCCCACCCAGCGTAGTCCACGGCGGACACTGGGGAGGAGGTGCTCTATGAGAAGGTGATGGCCATGTTGTCCACTCTCCAGCCTTCCAGATATGTTGGACTACAGTTCCCATTATCCCCACCCAGCGTGGTCCATGGCAATGGGCGTTGTTGTCCAAGTATATGAGGAAGGCAGCCAATTGGATAAAAATTTTTTTAATGTCCTTTGCGGCTTTTCCCTCCTTTTCCAGGCTGAAGGAGGTGCTCTATGAGAAGGTGATGGCCATGTTGTCCACTCTCCAGCCTTCCAGATATGTTGGACTACAGTTCCCATTATCCCCACCCAGCGTGGTCCATGGCAATGGGCGTTGTTGTCCAAGTATATGAGGAAGGCAGCCAATTGGATAAAAATTTTTTTAATGTCCTTTGCGGCTTTTCCCTCCTTTTCCAGGCTGAACTCATGAGCGGTCTAATCGAGTATTGCGTTGAGCTGAACGCAGCGGCCGAGGAGATGGATCAGGACGGCGCTGCTGCCAGGTCGGCGCCCTCCTCTGAACCCCAGACGGCTCCCCCAGAGCCCCACCGGCGATACCCCAAACTGCAGCGCCAGGAGAGCGTGCTCTGCAGCCGCATCCAGCATCTTTCCACCATCGACTACGTGGAGGAGGGTAAGCAGCACAGGTGGATTTGGGGGGGGGGGAGAGATACGGCTGTCCTCCCTTACGGTGTCACCAGAATGCAAGCCGCATGATGGGTGGGGCGGTGAAGCTGATTTAAGCTCAGCCTGGTCAGTCTTTGGGACTTTTTGAGGGGTTCTTTCCCTCTTTTCCCACCCAGCACATGGTCTAGAACCCAGTTTCCCTTCCGGGCTTGCTGTATTTGCGCATGCAGCCCCCCCCCCCAGGAGGGAGGCAAGCAACTCAAGACTGACACTCGAATGTGGGGCTCAGATTTGCCAACATCCCTGCCAGTGACCCTGAACATCATGTCGCCTGCAGAGAGATTGCAACCCCCAAACCAGCTGGCCTCCCCGTACAGGAACAGTCTACCTCCGACGCTGAGGACAAGGCAAACGGTAGACAGAGGTTGTGCTGGTGGGGGAAACAGGTTGTTGGACGAGAGAAATCCGGCAGAGCGTGTCTTATTTTAGGAAGGAGTTGCCTGAATGCGGGTGCGGAGCCCTGCTCTCTTTATCGTCGTTGCTCAGAATGGTTTCGGCTGGTCTTTTAACTTCCTGTTCTTTGCGTTCCTCCATTCCAGGAAAAGAGATCAAGAGGGTGAAGCCGCGGCGGACGGCCTCTTTCTTCGGCCGCCAGCTGTCAAACGTCCCCACCTCCTACGCGGCCGTGCGGGCTGCGGAGAACCTGGAACAAGGGTGATCCCTCTTGGCGACAAAGCGACCAGCTGACCTCAGCTTGGGGTGGGGAACCAACTCATCATTGTGTCAACGTTGTCTCTTCCGGAGTAAAAATGCCATCTCGCCTCCTGCCTGTCTCCCGTCGTCTCCAAAGATGCCACGTTGATTCTCTTTGACTTCTGTCCAGCTTGTATCTCGTCGGTTTGTTTCAGGTTTGGGCAACCCTTAAAATGCCTTGTTTTCTACTCTAGGGGTCTCTTCCTTCGTCACTACCCTGTTTCTGTTCCCAGCATGCAGTGGAGACCCCATCGGTACATCAGCAGCACCTGGAAGCTTTGCGTTCTTTTTTGGGGATCAACGTTCCCTCTTCTGTCTCCGTGGGCTGCCCCAAATCCTGTCCCTTCGGCCTCATCCAGCAAGATTTTTCACTTGGAACAGAATCAAACAGAGCAGTCCGGGTGGAATCCTCCACTGTCCGACTTGGAAGGGGAATAACTGAGCTTTTTACCTATTCCTGGCCCTCTGCATTGAATGTTTGCTTTGCTTTCCCACCATGGCAGTGGCTTCCTTAAGTCAATTTTTGTCAAATCACTCCTCTGGTCATTTTTATATCATATCACTGAAAGGCGGGGATATAATATATTTTCACACCGTTGGATGACTTAGGAACCTAGCAGAGTTCATATTGAAAAGGGGCGTTGGGTTGAGCGGTCGTCATTTCTACTGGCTTAAAAACACACACTTTAATAAGGGTGGAAGGGGTTATGCTAAAACGTGATTTGGAAGCAGGTTTAAATGGGTTTCTTTGGATGTTTGGAGTGGGGCGAAGGAGGACTTTGTAATCTCTTTGGGCATTCAGAAAAGGGATAGTCTGGGTTCAGGAGAAGGCTGGTCCCTTCCAGCGTGGTTATCCAAATGTGTGAAAGGGGGGGGGGTCCTCTACCTACGGAGCCTCACCAAATCACTGGGATCCCCACCCCCACCCCGGGGCCCTTCCATCGGGGGGGGGCTGTCTGCCCTTTGGAGGGACATTCTCCATGTGGGGCACAATTTAGAAGACGTCCAAGGAGGAGGAAAACTCGCCTCTCTCCCCCCCTTTCCCATGCATTCAGATTAACTTTTTTCCAAAACGGCCAAAGAGAGAGAGAGAGAGCGCGCCCTGGCATACTTTGAACTGCGCTTTGGTGTTTACGAGCTTTTTTTCCCCCCTTTTTAAGTCTCTGCGTTAATTGTCTAAAGAGGAGGCTCTCTTTCTGATGTAGGAAAGCCCTAACATTTCCTTCCGGATCTCTCAGGTTGTCTTCACGGCTAGCCGTTTTTCTTCTCCTTTCCTCAATGCCTTTCCTGAGTTGGAAGAGCTTCAGACGTGATGATTTTACCATGCTGTTTTGCAGCTCCCTTCAAGCCTCATCATCTGTCAACCTCACTAGAGCATCCTTTGGATATAACACCGTTCCTCATAGGGTGGCCACAGATAGGTTTGGTGTTTTTTTTTTTAAGCTGCAAGATGAATTTTGCATACCAATACACCTGTTTGTCACATGATTGTTTCAGAAAGTGCCAGTTCTTGGTTTTACTCCAAAGTAACACTATGCCATCGATCTTTTACTAATTTTTCCCCCAAGAATTTGTATATACATGCGCACTTAGTAATTTGCATCGTTTACTGGAATAAAGATAATGGATTCGACCAATTTGTTGTTGTTGTTGTTGTGAGCCTCCAAATTAGGATCCACCTTATTAAGATCCCCAAAATCTCCTCTCCTCGTCAGCCCTACTCAAGTCTTGCAAACTGTTTTTCTTTTCTTTTTTGTGTGTGGGTTTTATCAGTCTTCCACTTTTCCTCCTTTCTTCTACCTTTTCTATCATTATTGCCTTTTCCAGAGAATCCTACCTTTTCATGATGTGCCTGAAGTAGGAACGCCTCAGATTCAACATTTTTTTGCTTCCAGAGATAGTTCAGACTTGATTTGATCTGGGACCCACTGGTTTGTCTTTCTGGCAGTCAATCCAGCACCATAATTCAAACTACAGTGGTGCCTTGCTAGACGATAATCCGTTCCACTGAAATTGCTGTCTAGTGAAATCATTGTCTAGCGAAAAGCAAATTGTCGTCTAGCGAAAATTGGTTTGCGAAGCAGGGGCCAAACATTGTCCAGCGAAATTCCCCCATAGGAATCACTGTTTTGCGAATCGCTATAGCGATCGCAAAAAGTCAATGTTTTGCGAAAAAACTGTCATGCGGGGTAACTATAGCGAGGCACCACTGTAATCAATTTATTTGCTGTCAGCTTTCTTTACTTCCACACCCATATATGGTGATCGGAAATACAAGAATGTGGGTGATGTATTCACGAAGGCTTTCATGGCCGGGATCTGATGGCTGTTGTGGGTTTTTCGAGCTCTTTGGCCATGTTCTGAAAGTTGTTCTTCCTGACGTTTTACCAGTCTCTGTGGCCGGCCCCTTCAGAGGACAGGACTCCCACAAACATGGATGGCATAGTGCACCAGAGCACAGACAGAGTTCTGACTCCTGTCCTCTGAAGATGCCGGCCACAGAGACTAGCAATACGTCAGGAAGAACAACCTCCAGAACACGGCCAAACAGCCTGAAAAACCCACAACAATCAATGTGGATGATCTTGGTCTCTAGCGATGCATTCTTACACTTGATTATCTCTTCTAATAGTTTCATTGCTGCCCTTTCAAAATCTCAGTCCACTTCTGATTTCTTGGCTGCAGTCTCCGTTTGGTTTGACGATTGAGCCAAGGTATACAAAATCTCTATTTTGTTTTCTTCATTGTTGACATTAAAGCTGTGTGGTTCTTCTATAGTCATGATTTTTGTCATCTTGATATTCAACTGTAGTCCTGCTTTGGTACTTTCTTCTTTTCATCATAAATAATTTTGTGTCATTGCTGCTTTCTGCCACTAAGGTGGTATCGTCTGCACATCTTAAATTATGGATGCCTCTTCCAACTGTTTTCACTTCTTCATCTGAATCTAGCCTAGCTTTCCATATGATATGTTCTGCGTGCAGACTGAATCGGTAAAGAGATTAAATGCACCGGTTAATTACTTCTTTTAAAATAGCACCCTTTAGTAAGTTCATCAAACTGGGGATTTTCTAGTCCCAACTGTCTGCAAACAGGCCTTCCAGGACTACAGCTCCCTCTACCCCAAGCCAGAATAGTTGTGGCTGGGGCTGATGGGAGCTGTAGTTCCCCATGGCTGGAGTCGCCAGGCTAAGGAAGGAAATTGGTAATCTATTACTTTTGGAGTCTGCATGAATCTGTTTTCTGCTGGTTAAATGCATTAAAAAGATGGAGAATAGTTAATTGCCTCTATTGAATTGGCTGGGCATGTCCTCTGTCTCAATCTTTGCATTGTATAATCAGTTGTACTGAAGAAAATAAATGTACGCTTTTATTTAGAGGTCCTAGTTAATGGTGTCTGTGCTGGAGGAGACTCTTGAGAGTCCCCTGGACTGCAAGGAGAACAAATCTATCCGTTCTGAAGGAAATCAACCCTGAGTGCTCCCTGGAAGGTCAGATCCTGAAGCTGAGGCTCCAATATTTTGGCCATCTCATGAGAAGAGAAGACTCCCTGGAAAAGACCTTAATGTTGGGAAAGTGTGAAGGCAAGAGGAGAAGGGGACAACAGAGGATGAGATGGTTGGACAGGGTCACCGAAGTGACCAACATGACTTTGACCCAACTCCAGGAGGCGGTAGAAGACAGGAGGGCCTGGCACGCTCTGGTCCATGGGGTCACGAAGAGTCAGACACGACTTAATGACTAAACAACAACAACAGTTAGTCGTAGGTGAGTGACAGTGGTTACTGTGATCTCTGGGCCTACAACACATTCCTTACTTGCTAGCCATCTTCAGCCTTCAGCATTAACATGGCTTGTTCCCGTGAATCATAGTTAACACGTACCCCAGTTTATCATCGTTCGGAGAGAATGACAAACTGTAATGAGCTGAAGGTGCAGAACGAAGTTCGTGGCTTTGGTGAAGAGGGAGGTGTCGCCCCCAAGTCCATATAAAAAGAAAGTAGAGTTTAATGTAGGGTTCTGGACCTAATGCATGTACAGTGGTACCTCGCAAGATGACGACCCCGCTAAACGATTAATCTGCATGATGACTTCTTGCGATCGCTATAGGAATTCGCAAAACAGTCATTCCAATGGGAGATTTTCGCTGGACATTGATTAGGTCCGTGCTTTGTGAACCATTTGTTCGCAAGACGATGATTTTTTCCGCTGATTGTCGGTTTCGCAAAATGGCTGCCCTGTGTTTTCTGGACCCATGCTTCACAGGGCAGCCATTTTTACAGCTGATCGGTGCTCGCAAAATGGCTTCCTTATGGGCGATCTTCACTGGACAATGAGTCATTTTCCCCATTGCATTGCATTAAACCGGGTTTCAATGCCTTCCAATGGGGCAAGGGTTTTTGCATGACGACGATTTCACTAAACAGCGATTTCAATGGGACATTGTCTTCATGCGGGGCACCACCGTACCTGTAATGCATTTCCTATTATCAAGATGATGTATGTACGATATTTGGGGCGAGCACAGTCCAAACAACACAGCCTGCAAGCAGAAGCAAGAATTACAAGGGCCTCTGAGTTATGTGTGTGTTTATTTTTGTTAACTTAAAAAACTAAAGACTGGGTGACGAAGAGCCAAAAGCAGAAGTAGATGGGAGGCACGGGCCATATTTTAGGACATGTTTCAACTTACCACCCCATAACGCTCGAGCACTCACTGGGTGATTTACAGCGTAATTATGGAAGGAATACTTCTCTCCCACCCACCCCAGTGAGTTTGGCCTTTGTTTTACCAAGGATGGAAGGTTGACTGAACCTTGAGCCGGCTGCCTGAATCCATTGCGATCCAACTCCGGTCATGAGCAGAGAGGCTCGACTGCAGGATTGCGGTTTAATGACTGTGCCACAGGCGTGCTGAGTACGTTTTTGCAGCAAAATGAATTTGGGCTCTTCGGTGTCTCTAATCTGCCGCTAACCGCAACAGATCTCGTTCCTTGTTCTTTCCCCGCTAAAAGGCATCTCACTTTTCCCGTATTTTGAACTGGGTACCAGGAGAGGGTTTAGAAAAACCTGGGTTGCTGCTTTGGGCCTCGTGCTTCACTAAAAAAAATATTCTCACTGCTGTTTGAGAACCTCACTCATGTCTGAGGAAGTGGGTAGTATCCATGAAAGCTCACATTAAAATAAAGCAGTCTGTAAATTGCACCTGTGACTTGACTCAGTTTTTTTTCCTCCCAGTGACTCAGATTTGATTCTCGGCTCAAAACGGACCCTCTGTGTCCCCTTTTTCTGAGGAAAAATGAAAAGCTTGTTCGACGAAGGGTCTCGGACATGGGGCTTGGGACTCGGGACAGTACCGAAAACTCAGACTTGGTGCCAATGTCTTTCCAAGATCCCTGCCTTTAAGGTTTTTATGATTACAGTGGTGCCTCGCTTAGCGATCGCTCCATTGAGCGATGAAATCGCTTAGCGATGGGGTTTTGGCCATCGGCAGAGCGATCACTTAGCGATGGCCCCTATGGGGAAAAATCGCTTTGTGATGATCGCGGGGAAGCGATCACCGCAAAGCCCCCATTTTTGGCCAGCTGAGCGGCGGTTTCAAAATGGCCGCCGGAAAACAAAATGGCCGCCCACTGTGTTGCCTTGCTTTAGAGGCACCGGAAATGGCCGCCGCAATGGAGGATCTTCGCATAAGGTTAGTTTTAAAGCCCATAAAGCCCATAAGGTTAGTTTTAAAGCCCATTAAACAAGTTTTAATCTTAGCGATTAAAGCGCTTGGCGATGTTTTTTCCGGAATGGATTAACGTTGCTAAGCGAGGCACCACTGTATTATGATTTTGTCTTCGTCTGATATTGATTGTTGCTGTTGGTATTCTGAGCCCACAACGGGGCGTTGCAAATCCACTTCGTCAGCTGCTTTTCCTTCTTCCTGCAGATGGTATATTTGACCGGGTACCACACCCTTTACAATAAAACATCTCCAGCTGGTGAATAAGAGCTGGCAAGCCCTTCCTTTTGTTCTCTGCTTCACAAGAAACCTGAGTGTTCTAATTAGCCAGTTTTGGGTCAAACTAGTTTTCATGCTAGAAAACAAAGGCAGACATCCCGGATTGCTGGAGAAAAGCAGCACAGAAATGAAACCTGTAGAAAGCATTACAGCTTGCGCGCAGCGCACTCTTGCTCACTGTGTGGGTTGGAGCGGGACCTGGTAGAACCCGGTTCAAGTCCCCCCAGTGGCCATGAAAACTGACCGCAAGACCTTGAACTAGTTTCTTTTACTTCTCTGGCTTGGCTCTATTTTTTTTAACATGGCCTACCTTACTGTGTTGTTGTAAAGGGAAAAGTAGCGAGAAAGAAAGCCATAAACACTGCCTTTGAGCCCACCATACAAATCATTTTTGGCTTTTATTTTCTCTTCCCCATTTCTTTGTGTTGTGCTCTCTTTTTTTTTTTTTTTAGACTGCAAGTCTGAGGACTGCAGAGTCTTAATTTTTATTAGCATTTACACCATTCTGAGGACATCTTCGGCTGTAAAGCAGGGGCATGTTGGTTTAGTGGAAAATTTTCAAGTACGGCTGCTCATCACGAGAGTCGCCCCCAAAGACTGGATACAGGGAGTCCAAAATGCAGGCA